CTTCAAAAGACGTGATTTATGGAGTAATGCCCGGAGTTTGCCTTTTCGCCTTTCACTGTGGGTTTCGCCTTTCACTGTGGGTTTTCCCAAAAACAGTTTCGTCTAACAACTATAGGTCAGGCACTATCATATTCGACATTATCGGTCACATTTGTCTTGTCCACGGGATATGGTTTAAAAATAAGAGTTTTTTTGAGATCAGACGACTCATATGTCAGTTTCTGTCAATGATACGCATATAAAGCCTTGGTAACCATAATTCACATTCTTGTGCATTTGATTTTAACACTATTCAATGCAAATGACGCCACCGGAAATTGAATCCCATAAGATGGAAAATACCAATGCATAAGAATGCAAACTACAACCTTTGTTTGCATTACCGTTACTCTGTCTATCTAACCTTATTATTCCATTACAACTAATTTCGTCTCTATTACTTAAATGTAATTGACCGATATACTCGCGACCTCTAGACATAACTTTTTGTGATCTACCATTCAATTTATATATGTAACGATTAATCATTTTTTTTATGTGACTTATCGTTATTGTACGTTATATTTTCCTATTGTTGAGGCTGAACATTTCTTATTCAGTAATTACACTAAATAAAATAATAAATATCGATATGGAGAACTATATTAGTGTGTAACCAATATTACCGTTTTTCAAGTTCCTTATTTGATCAAATCGCAAATTTTATGAAGAAAAAAAAATCGAAAATACAAGAAAACCTGTCTTGGCCATTAATAAAAATGTTAGAAAAGCAATTTTTACTAACTTTAATTTAGTTGCTTTGTTTCAAATAAGTTAGTTCGGGGGTTATTTGTGGGTTATATAGATAATTCAATAATGCAATTTATGCAGTATGTAGATCATACATGAATTCGCTCCGCTTTAGCCGACTCCCATTTAAGGAAATTTGAAAGCGGTTCAGAAATATTGGTTCATTATCGTTATTGTGTTATCTATATCGATAAGAAACAATTAATAACACTGCATAACCAGTATGATGGTTAGAATACTAGATCAAAAATACTTTATAACCGGTTTTGACTATATCGAGGTACTATTGTATTTTAAAAGCTCTAAGGTTGGAAAATCTATTCCGAAATTCCGGGTTCTGAATAATTAAAAGACCTTAATTTACATACATGTTGCATGCACTTTCTTATAAAAAGTTCATAATGGTTTTTCAGATTGCCACTTGCTTTTGTTTAACGATTTCTAAAAAAAATTTGTGACCCTGAGCAACGTTTAACTAAGAATGTCAAAAACATCAATCAATAATCTTCTCTTAAAAAAAATCTTCCAAATTCCGAAACATTTCTATTTAATGAGTAGAGAATTTGTTTTCACTTAATTATTCTTTAGTAAAACTTAAACATTTTTCAAAATGATAGCGTTACCAAATGAATGCCTTTTCGAAATATTTATTAACCTTAAGGATAATTATGAAGACTTGTTTTCATGCCTTTTTGTAAATCGTCAATGGTGTAGAAATGCTGTGTCAATATTATGGTACAAATTAGACTCTTTTAAAAATAGAAAGCTCATAAAAACATGCCTTTTGTTATTAAATGATGAAGAGCGAGCTTTATTATTACCATTTAAAATAACTCTTCGAAATAATAATAAACCATTATTTGATTACTCAACTCTTGTTAAAACTATCTACTTTAATACTGACAATGGAATTATAAATTGGCTTGATTTTGAATGGCAGAAACCTCATGATTTACCTTGTTCTCTTTATATTAACAAGAGAAAATGGCCTGTAGATACTGTTCATGCTATTGGGTCTTCTTTACTCTCAATGTTTCTGCGAACTAACCGGAAACTTGAAGATTTACGCATTTGTCATATTAATTATAATCTCATACTAAATTTAACAGAAAACCTTTATAAATGTACCAAATTGAGTTTCTTGGGATTTGAGAATAATCAATTAGGGGTCGATGGTGGAAAAGCATTATCAGAATTCCTTTATAAAAACACTACTTTGACCTACTTATATATTAGTAATAATCAACTTGGCCTTGAAGGAGGAAAAGCATTAGCAGAGGCTCTTTGTAATAATACTACTCTAACTCATTTAAATATTTGGAATAATCAGCTTGGCCCTGAAGGAGGAAAAATATTAGCAAATGTTCTTTCTAAGAATACTACCTTGACTTACTTAAATGTTGGATGTAATCAACTTGGTGCGGAAGGAGGAAAAGCACTGGCAAAGGCTCTTTACAAAAATACTACACTGATTCATTTATCTCTATATAATAATCAACTCGGTTTTAAAGGTGGAAAAGCATTTGCAAAGGCTCTTTGTAAAAACACTACCCTGACCTACTTGAATCTAGGTAGTAATCAACTTGATTCAATAGAAGGAAATTTATTAGCAGAGGCTCTTTATAAAAATACTGGTTTAACCTCTTTAGATCTTCGTGATAATAAGCTTTATATTGACGTGGGACGTGCATTAGCTGATGCTCTTCACGAAAATACAACTCTAACCTGTTTAGTTCTTTGTAATAATTCAATTGGTGATTCAGTTTTAACTGAAATCAAAAACTTGCTTAAAAATAAAGACCGCAAATATATGGCGCCAGAAGCTTAAAAACATCCAATTTTCAATTTATTTCGCTTTTCTTTAAAAAAAAAAATTGTGTTCAACAAAAAAGAACCTACAAAAAAAAAATCGTATTTTAATAGTTTTGACAAGATTTTATAATTAATAAAGTTAAATTAAAATATTCTGATCTTATTAATAAAATAAGAAAAAAAAGTTTTTTTTTTTTACAAACTTAATAGAATTGTAGTACTATTGTGAACAAATTTGGCTATAATTAAACGTCCCCACAGTAAAACAAACATGAGATGATAAACATTTTATTTGCCGTAAATTTAAGAGGGGTAGAAAAGTGTGACAGGTCAATAAACCTATCATTAAATTTGATTTTTTGGTGTTAAGGTGACCTTTTTGGTCTTTTGATTTTTTATTACTGACTTTTTTGGTAATGTGTTTCAATGAACCACTACAGGAGAGCATACAATTGGCTACACATATAACTTTTCTATATTACCTATTTAAGGAGTCCACCCAAAGGTTTCTCATCAATTGTCATACTTAACACTCCTGCTTGGATGTTCCACTTTAAACCTTCTGAATCTACAACCTGTGTTAATATCACTGGGTCATACCCAGATGCTCAGATCATTGTCCTAACCTTAGGATTATTTTATCCTTGAGGTAAACCTTCCAAAGTCTTCTGTATTCAAAACCTATTATTAATAATATATCTGTAATTAGTCTTTATTAAAAAAATTTTAAGGTAATGTATATTAATTCTAATTGAATTAATTAATTAATATTAATAAATTTTAATTGATTATAATCAATAGTAAGATTTCTAATTAATTAACAATATTATTGATTATATATATATATTAACTCTAACAATCACACTAATTACCTATTAGAACTTCATTTATTTATTTTGATGTTAAGGTGAGGTTTTACTTGTATCTTTTTTTTTTTTAATGTTAAAATGAATACTTATAATTTAGGTTTTTATTAATAATATGTTTCAGCATTGTAATTGTATTACAACAGTTATAGAAGATAACTATAGGAAGAGTATACATCTAATCACTTATATAAATTTAGTTATTGTTTAATTTAAGTAGTTTGCTTAAAGGTTTTACACTTGGTATTATATCTAGAACCTATCTTGTAAGTTTTCTATTTAAACAATCTGATTCTTGTATTTAGTTACTTATTTATTTTACCAACTGCTTGAGTTTTTACTAATATAAATATATTATGATTATTAAGTTTTTAAAATAGGGATGTGGCGACTTAGTGAAGTAGATAAGTTGTCAACCCTCCAAGTGGTAGGTTGGAAGTTCAAAACCTACTGATGGCAAAAATTTGGAAAACCACCTATGTTACATCGATGTATACGGGCATCTGTGCAATGTTGGAATTACACAGAGGAATGCAAATCAGCATCAGGCAGTGCAAACACAAGATAAGTTCTTGAAACCAGTACTACGATGACAGCTATCTATCGATCAGTTGGGATCAGTATCTGTAACAAAGTCGCATCAGATAACTGGCAGGTTATGGGGCATCTGTGGTCATGTAAATCTGTGAACTGGAATAACTAGAAGCCCACTTGGGAAGACCTGAGTAGAGAGGTAACACAGATCTTTGACAGTACTACTGTAAAGGTTAGACCTAGAAAACGGATACCAATGTGGAAGAAATCAGATAAGCAAGAATCTCAGATAAGAGGTACCACTAACCAGACCACCGGAAGACTCGAACTAGAGGAAAAGGACCTTAGGGACAGACCCTGGAGTACCAGAGACAAGTCACAGTCCTACTAGGCTATCTGGATTGGAAGTCTGAGGTTGGAAACAAGGATATACTAAAGTATTAGAGATATGCTGTAAAGTCAGTGCTGAGATCTGAGTAAACTCTGCAAGGGCGAGCCCTGTTAACAAGATATTAAATGTGAGTAGTTATTTAGCAGGGAGGCCTTCTGGAGCCCTACAGTTAGGTGACGTACTCTGAAATGTGTAATAGCTTGACAAATATACAGACAGGAAGGTCACAGTTAGGTTAGACGGCATTTAGGTGTACAGGAACTTGTGCACTATTTGTCGGTGTAAGTATAGAGATCAGAGTGTTTAAATTAGGTAATCTTCTAGTAGATTGCAGGTATGGCAACTAGTGTAGAACCTGCTGTGCAGGTGGACTACTTAAATTAGACAACCAAAAGTTGTATGTGTGGCAAGTTGTATACTCACCTTGTACAAGTTATGTAATCATAATTAAAATACAATAAAGGCAATAGCCGCTGATAACTACAGCCTTAGCGAAAGCAAAAAAAAAAAAAAAGTTTTTAAAATAGTTTATTTATATAAAAAACCTTTGATCTTATACTAAACCTACTAAAGCCTTTTATTATTCAATTTTTAGTTAATTTGATATTTTATTATAGTCAGAATCAATATTCATAGTTAGAATTAATCTTTAAACTATTATATTTTTGTAGAATTTATACAACCTTAGTATTTTGCTTTATAACTTTATTGGTACTTTGTACATTTTTGCAAGTTCTTTTATACTATTAATTCAGTTAGTTTTATATAATATAATTTTATTATTAGTTCAACTATTAGTTAGATTAATTGGTTTTTTTATTTAAAGTTCTTACTATATAGATTATCTGCTTTAGATTTTTTTTTTAAATTAAAGATTTTTATAAATAGTATTGTTAAAAATCATATTATCTTTCTATTTAGAATTTTTAAATAAAGTTTTTTATAAAATATATACTTTTTAAATTTATTTATGTAATATTGTATACTTTCAAATTTAGTTTTGATACAATTAGAATTACAGATTTACAATCTTTAATATTCCAATCAAGTTATTAGTATAGATTTATTTTTCAAAATTTTATTGTTAA